ACCAGTCAGTATCGCTGGTCACCACCACACCAGTTATATAATAACTCTGTACTGGGCTGGTGACAATATGTAAAAAAAATTATTAAAAATTGTGATTTATTTTTGTACATTTTCCAAATTATTGTAACAAAAAATTACAGCCTCCAAAAAACTCAGCATGCCTCTTAATAAATACCTTGGACTGTCTATTTTCCAAAAATTGGTAATTTGGGGGGTATTTGTACTATCCTGGCCTCAAGAAATGAGTTGGACCGGCAGTACATCAAGATTGATCGATTGTCAGATATATATACCATGGTTTGTGGACTCCTACACGCTAAATAATATACGCTAATTTGAGGTATTTTTCACACAAAAAAATGTAGCAGAATACATTTTGACCTAAATTTATGGAGGAGTTTTATTTATTTGCACAATTTTATAACAGAGAAACGAAGAAAAACGTGTTTTTTTTTTCAAAAGTTTCAGGGTTTTTTTTCGTTAATTTAGCAAAAAAATAAAACAAATTCAGTGGTGATTAAATACTACCAAAAGAAAGCTCTATTTGTGTGAAAAAATGATAAAACTATTTTAAGGGTACAATGTTGCATGACCACACAATTGTCAACACTGAAAGCTGAAAATTGGCCTGGGCAGGAAGGGGGTAAAAGTGTGCAGTATTGAAGTGGTTAATATTGGTGCTGGTGGCATATTATGGCACTTGTTTTTGCAAATCAAAGGACATTTTGTGGGGTAGCTTGGGTTGAGGGAGGAGGGAGATGGGGAATGTAGTGGGCGGATATGTTTTTGGTGGGTTTCTGGGGTGCCAGTCTGGGCGGTGAGCACCAAATATTATCATGGGCTATTATATTTTTGTCATATTTTTTACTATTGAATAAACAGTATTTTTGGATGGTATCTACTGTGGTGTCTTTGACAGTTTATTTTCTTTTGCCTGATTCAAGAAAGAATTTATACAGAAACAAATAAACAAATGCAAGGAGTGAAGAGAAGAGATTTAATTATGGATAAAGTATGGGAAAAGAAGAAGAATGAATTATATTGGAAAACAACAAACAGTATAAGAAGGTCGAAAGAATATTAAGTAAACAGTGGCCAGTTTTACAAGCAGACAAACATTTAGGAGATATTTTGCCTATAAGACCTAAATATACATTATATATATATATATATATATATATATATATATTTCAATCACCAAATTTAAGAAACAGTTATGGTTGCCAGAGAGTAAAATATAACCAAAAAAAAAAAAGAAAAGCATTTATTTCTGGGAGCACAGGCAAAGAGTATGAGATTCATGATTGTATCACCTATTAAACAGAAGAGGTGATCTATGGAGTTCCCATGCGGTTTACAATATGTAGGTTGCAGTAAAAAGGACATTAGGAAAGAGTGTGAAAGAGCATGTTTCCAATATTTCTACAGGCTTTAAAAAGTAGAATTTGCCCAAGCATTTTGCACTTTATTACAATACAGGTCCTGCATTGAAAGAATCTAAATGGATATATTATCTGCAGACTCGTTCCCAAAGGGTAAAACATAAAATCTGACCTAAATTGCTTTTAAGAGGATTTTTAATGTTGAGGTTTTAAAAAGGGGGTTTAAGGGGAGTTTAAGGTTAACATCTAATACCACGTACACACTATAAGAAAATCGGACGAACGAATACGTCCGACAAGCAATCGTGCAATTTTCTGACAATGTGTACATCATTTTCGACAGCCAATTCCGATCTTATGAACGAAAATTAACGATAGTGCAAACATCAAAATTTTTGTGGTTTGGGAACAGAACAAACGATTTTCGTTTAATGTGTAAAGTTTTCATATGAGAAGAATTGGATACGAAAGACTGTGCATAATTGGAAGCTGCTTATGACCTGGAAGAACCTGAAGAAGAAACACCAGGGAATATTTGTAGCATTACAGACATTAATGTCATAAATGTCATTAAACAGTTTTTTTCACCCAACCCACAAAAAACAAACCTTACATATGTCACTGCATCCCAATAAATGTGTGTGTTTGCATGTTGTTGTAAAAATAAAACCACAAATAAATAAACAAATATGGCACCGAAAGGCGTGGCTACAGGGTCACACCTACATTACATTATTTCCACAGCTACGCTACGACATTCATATGCAATGCCTTTATATCGTACAATATTCTCATGCATAAAAGCACATCGCTTTTGACCAGCTGCGTACAATCGATGATAACCGGACGATCGTTAGTCCGATTATATTATAGTGTGTTCAGGGCATAACAGTATTTTACAGGGTGATTTCTAGATCTGTGTTTTTTTAATAATCAAAACATTTTATTATCTATTCATTTTTTTTATTTATATTTTGTTGTTTATTTTATATATTCATTTTATTGTGTGCAGTAATATTTCTTACATTTATTGATATATGCCTTTGAAATTCTGTATATGCGTGTATATGTATAGACTTTTGGTAGGGTTAAGTATTATTATATAACAAGAGGATCGGCTAGATGAGTAATAGTATATTGCAGGATCCTTTTACCTTCCAACAAAATGCTGAAAGTAAGACACTGTAGAAGTATTGGGAATATCAGTAAAATAGAGAATTGGCATTTGTAATCAGTGTAGGCTGCAGTAAAATGTTGACTGCTGTGTTATCTGTGTTTTGTTTATTATTGTTTTTATGGAGCTCTATGAGTGAGACTATGTACGTGGCCTGACATCATGGCGGCCCCATTCCCTGACAAATTCAGTGATGTAATGCGTAGGGAACAGTGGATTTTATTTTTTTGTAAAAGGTGGATATATAGTGAACACTATTAGTATCATTCTTTTTTGGGTGGATTGTGATATTATCCCCATGGATGGCTTAGGATAGAGGCAAACTGAGTTTCGAGGAGTTTGTGAAGGAGAGACCAGTCAGAACTAATAAGGGGAGGTGCATTATACCTGATTGATTTGGGGTCAAAATAATAAGGTGAGAGCATAGGAGTATTGGTGATGGGATTGCATGGTGTATGAGCACATAAATTGTATACGAATAGGATTGACGGTGTGGACTCATTAAAGGGAAGAATAGTTATACACATATGCAATAAAAACACAGACATTTGTACAGTATATGGTGGATAAAATAAGTTTATTGCAAAGAGTGGACTTATATTCACAGGCACAAGTAATTGATATTGAATGGAAAGATATTTATTGCATGATTTATAAATAAAGGATTCTGTGTAATGTAATTTTTTTTTTTGTGCTTATGGTTTTTTTTATATTTTTATAAATGTCACAGTAGAAATATTTGAAATATTGAGTGAAATTGTTTGACATTAATATTGATTGGAGTGGAGAGTGAGAACACTTTTAGTGTCAGCTGCAATACACATAATAAGTTGGAAGTAGTTTTTGTAGGTGGACATATTTGCCCTGGAGTCTCTTTTGGTTTAATATTCTGTAAAAGGACAACTTAAGTCCAGAGCCGGGACAAGGGGAGAGGGGATGCAGAAAGAGCACTTTGCTAAGTGCAGTCTTCTACTTTGGAGGTGGGGGGGGGGGGGGGGGGTACAAGTGCCCCAGGGCACATACCTGCTTCTCCTGGCGGATGCCTTCATTCCCTGTTGCCATGATCACCAGAACTGCAGCAGCTTGCATCTTTCTGCACTAACTGTCTGTTAGAACAGTTAGTATCAGAGAATCAAGGGAAGCTTACCCCAGTCTCCTCCTTGGCTCTGATGTGTCTTATGAAAGAACACAAGGAGGAACATGGGGGAAAGGAGGTGCTGAGATCCCAGTATCTGAGGTCTGTTCTGAGATGGGGAGAATAAGAGGATTTGTGCTGGGGAAGGGTTTGGAGGTAAGAGCATTTGTAGAGGGGGGAAGAGGTTTTGTGCTTGGATGAAGATGGGGGGGGGGGGTAAAGAGGAGGATTTGTGCTGGGAGTGTGGTTAATGCTGGGAGAAGGGATTGGGGGGGGGGGAAGGGGAGCATGTGCTCAGAGAGGGTATTTGGAGCCAGGAATAAGAGGATTTGTGCTAGAATGAGGGGTTTTGGTGGAGTAGAGGATTTGTGCTGTGGGCGGATTTGTAATAGAAGGGTGGATTGGGGGAGGATTCTGGTACTAGAAGGGGGATTTATAGAGGCTAGGATTTGTCCTGGGAGAGAAACAGGATTTATGCTAGGGGGGAGTTGGGGGGGGGGGGGGGGTGACTGGGAGGGGGGGTTTGTGTTCGGAGGGAGGATTAGGATCGAGATGATTTTTACTAGAAGGGGGGAGAGGATTTGTGCTGGGAAGAGAGTGATTTGGGGGGGCAAAGATTTGTGCTGGGAGAGGTGTGTGTACAGGTTAGTGCTTTTTTTTTGGGGGGGGAGGTGGGGGAGGGTATTGCTTGCAGGCAGAATTGTGCACTCTTCTCACTCCTACATAGTGCTTTACAATCCCCGCTCTTCTTGTTTTGTACTCCTACTATGCTTTACATACTCCTGCTTTCTGAAATCTGTGCATTATTTACCCCTTCTCTCCATGTGTCATGTACTACTGAACCTGGCATAGACTGCAACAGTCAGCGTGTTGTATACTCCTCACCTCTGAACTCTTTGCATTACATACCCAGGATCCCTGCATTTTGAAGTATGTATTACTAAACCTGGCACTGACTGTGTGTTACATACTCCTAACCCTTGCACTCTGTGCATTGCACACCCCTGACCCATGCACTCTGCATTACAGACTCCTGCACTATATACACTAAATTGTACATTACATACTTCTCACAAAAGTGTTCCTTGTCTCAACAGTTGCTGGTTGCTAAGCAGTCCTTGACTATTTTAATGGAGTTCTTCCGTAACCACCTCCCGTCCGCCATATAGTAATATGACGGACGCAAGTTGGTTCTCTCATTCTGGGAGGACGTCATATGACCTCCTCTCTTTCTCACCGCGCATGCGCGGCTCAGGGAGTGCGCAGCGCGCCGATCGGAGGTGCGCTGTATCCCTCAGACACAGCGGATCACCGATCATGGAAAGAGCCGAAGATGTCGGCTCGGTCATGTGATCAGCTGTGTCCAATCACAGCTGACCACATGTAAACAGGGAAATGCTAGTTATCGGCATCTCTGTCCTCTCGAGCGGTCACGTTGACAGCTCGAGAGGAGAGGAGAGCCAGTAATCGGCTTTCCGCGGAGGGGACATGTACACTGATCATGAGGGTACTGATGATCAGTGTACCCTGATGATCAGTGTAGCCCCAGCAGTGCCAACTGTCAGTGTCCATCAGTGCCTTGTGTCAGTGCTCATCAGTGCCTCGTGCCAGTGCCCATCAGTACCACATCAATGCCACATATCAGTGCCTACCAGTGCACATTAATGCCACATATCAGTGCCCATCTGAGCTGCCTTTCAGTGTCACCCATCAGTGCCAGTCAGTGCCACCTATTAATGCCTATCAGTGCCACCTATAAGTGCTGCCAGTCAGTGCTGCCTATCAGTGCCACCTATCAGTGCGCATTAGTGCCGCCTATCAGTGCATGTCGGTGCCGCCTATCAGTGCCAGTCGATGCCGCCTATCAGTGCCAGTCAGTGCCGCCTATCATTGCCAATCCATGCTGCCTGTCAGTGCCATGTATCAGTGCTGCCTTTCAGTGCCCATCAGTGCCACCTACCAGTGCCTCCTCATCAGTGCCCATCAGTGCCACCTATCAGTGTCCATTAGTGCAGCCTATCAGTGCCCATTACTGCAGCCTCATTAGCGCACATTAGTGAAGGAGAAAAATCACTTATTTACAAAATTGTAAATTGTAAATAACTCAGCCTTAGACCTCCCATTTTGTCCTCAGAACCTCCCCATATGCTCCTTAGCTACCTCCCTCTCTTATGGATTGTTTACACCCATGGTAATACCCTGAAGAGTGATCCACTTTAGATGACTTTTCAGAGAGTGATCAACAGGCAGAGAGTAGGTGTGTGCATGCCACCATTATCCCCATCTCTTCCTCCACTCAGTTTGCTAATTTCACCTTGGGCACTAGAGGACCTTGCCTCAGCACTGGCCAAGACAATGGGCAAAATAGTAAAGTAACCTAAAATTACAATGAAGGCATTTAGAGAACAAATGTAAAGTGTTTAAAGCTTACAAGTGAAATCATTTTTGCTCTATCAGTACGTTTATTCACTTGTACATTTTCTGCATCTGTAATGGACATTAAGTTCAGAAAGATTGTCAGGGTATGTAACTCACAGGAGAGGCTGAAAGGACTTACACATATTTTGGCTGCTTAATCAGTTCACACACAGATATGAATTTCAACTGTGAAATTCGCATAATAAAAAACGTGTACAAAGAAAAACATGGAGGCTCACCTTGCTAACTGGGCAGTCGGAAATGAAGGTTGTCAACTCTCAAGCTGATTTTTCAACTTTAGTACTTTTTAAATGACTGCGCCAGAATGATTATGAGGATCCGTAGTTTTCACTTCACTTTGAATTCATTAGCCACATAAATATCCTGAACCTTAGACTTACCTTACTTACTTTAGAGGGTATTGAAACAGAAAACCAGACAACAGAAATTTTCACGAGGGGGGGTGAGTGAAGACAGAGTCCATATTTCTCCCAATGGAGTTCTCCCAGGTTTGTTTTAAAGAAAATTTCTCAATCTACATAAAAGTACATGTAGTACACTGTCCTATGTTTCTAAGTTCTTCCTAACCCTAGCTATGTGGGCTGACCTGCCCCCCTCTCCCTTTCTGCTGTGGCCAGTCCGACAAAAGCTGAGGGAGATGGCTAATTCATAGCTCCTGCTTATCTCCTCTGTGAGCACTTTCCTGAGATTTGCAACGGTAAGAGGGATGCAAAGGAAGGAGGGCCATGTCAGTCTCTGCACACCTTTTACCGTTGTTTGTCTTGGGAAAGGACTCACAGCTGAGACAAGCCTCACCTATGAATTAACCGTCTTCTCTAAAGTTGTTGTCAGATTGGCTTCAGCAGGAAGGGGCAGGTCGGTACACATAATTAGAGTTAGAAAACACCTAGAAACATGGGACAACTACCTACTTTGTCCCATAGAAGACAGAACTGTAAAGTAAAAGTGATAATAGTAGATCTTCTTTAAACAGTAATAAGTCACATTGTCAGGAAGATTATGTACATTGTGCACAGCTGTACATGGAGAAATGCATGCATACATAACGCAGTTCATGTACTTGTACTCAGAATCAGAGCTGTACGCATGTTAACCCATGTGCCAGTGTTCATGTGCATTAGCGCAGATGAAAATGCCTGGCCACTGGCATTTTGGTGCCTAATATCCTATATAAAGATGAAAAGTATTTCAGAAGATCACAGAGCGGTCGTCAGCCCCTGAAAAAGTGCTGCTCCTGTATCTGTACTCTGACCCAGCTAATTCCCAGTCTCTGCTTGATCCTGATTCCGTTATTGACCCTGGTTATTGACCCGACTCTGTCTTCTGTCTGCTTATTTGGTACCAGTTCCACTCATCTGATACTGACCTTGCCCTGGCTTCTGATTCTGCCTCCTGAATGTGCACCACTGATTTGTTTGCTAAACTGCTGCTGAATAAGCTCCTGTACCCTACAAAAGTTCCAGTATGGCCTCCAGTCCTGCATCTTTCTATTTCTGCACTACCTAAGGCATCATTTGGCCAGGATTTGCTACAGGCTCTTGTGACACTCCTTGCCCTACTATATCCTCTTACCAAGGCCATGAGAAATGGGACAAGAGATGTAAGGGAACCCTCTCGTCAGTTTTGCCTCTACCAGGTATGAGAAACATGTTTTACTAACAGGTCTTGCTAAATTTGCCAGCTGCAATCAGTGCAAACTGAGTGTTAAAGCTGAACTCCAGGCAATTATTTCAAACAATGAATGTAGTTATGAATGTAATAAAAATCATTAACTGCATTTAATGCAACTCCTATACTTACCTTAATTTGACTTGATTCTCCAAATACTAGAACTCCCTATACAGCAGCAATCAAACTTGGGAGAAGCACTTGGGGCCACTTGTATTCAAATGTGCAAACAAGGAGTATGCTGATGAGAGGAGAGAGCAGAGTAATAACCTCATCTATTTGTATCTGTTCTTTTACTGTCCAATCACAGGCTGGAAACAGGGAGGTGACTAAAGGATGGTACACATTGGACAAATATTGGCCAGCATCAGCTGGTTCAACAGAAACTGGTTGACATTTGGCCAGTGTGTACAGCAGCCATTCAACAGAAGCCGACCTAACGTCCGGCTTCTGTTGAACGGGCGCTTGTAGCCAATGACTGTGAGCACTGATCAGGCTCATACTGTGTACACCACATAAGTTGTGTTGCTTAGCTACAGTAGAGGAAAGTTGGGTTACCATGCTAGTTATTCTGTTTGGTAAGGTTATATAAATATCAGGGTGGATTTGATTTAAATCAAGTTGATCTAAATCACAATTTAAATCATGATTTAAATCACTAGTGAAAAGGCTTGATTTAAATCATAATTTTTAAAGAACAACTGTAATCTTTGTCCTGAAGTAGCTTTTCCTCTGGCCTGCTGTTGACTCGCTTTAATGGAACAGCTGGTGATGCGGCAGTGACACAACACAAGGTGAGGGATGTGGCGGTAGCAGGTGAGTGGATGCCCGCTAACAGGCGCTGCCATGATGGATATAAAATGACAGGTGCTCTTTAAATGTAAGGAATCTGACTCATACTTGCTGGTAGTTAGAATCTTTAATATCTGCAAACCAAATGAAGGTTTCCTTTTTAGAATAATAAGCTGTCAGGTTAGTAAAACAGCGATATCAAAACTGATTTTAGGTTAATAGGTTAATCACACATAGCTGGAGAACTACTCAAATTCTTTTATTTCATGTTTTTTCTCATGGTTACTATGAAATTGTGGGAATGCATCAATGCAGTGCATGTTATCTCAGCTTGCAGAGCTTGGATTCATTGAATGAGTTTACCAAAAATTTAAATATTGCAGAATATACAGCCTCATGCTTCATAACTAAGCTCCATTTCATGCTGATTAAACTAAATTATTAATGTATCTTAAATAGAAAAATATCTTTAGATATTTTTTTACTCCAAAAACATTTTATTAAAAAAAATTTGATAAAAATTTAAAAAATCTGATTTAAATTAAAGAAAAAATGTATTTATTTATTTTTAAATCATCGATTTTTATCCACCATGACTGCAAAGTCTTAAATACAAATCATTTGGAAGATAAGACGGCATCTATATGTGTATGAGTGAATGAACTTGCAAACACCTACAAATAGTTGAACCATTCAGTCTAGACTAGAATTTCTTTTGCTTCCTTGTGTCTTCATGTTAAGACAAAAAGCTAACGCTTAGTATTGGACTGCATCTCAGTTACGAACAGATATACAAGCAACTTAACATTTTCTCCTGTCAAAGTCCCTGGGAGGTATTAAAAAAAATGTGCAGCTGAACACATGCATGGTTTAAAGTTATTTTGGAGGATGTAGACACATATGGACTTTCAAACAAGACACTAAAAATGGTTTTGGCTTTCACTAACAGTTCCACTGATAAAATGCTGTGTGGTACATGTCCTCTCAGTCTTGTGCCTGTCTTCTGTACACTTTGACAATGTACATCATTGCAAAACTTAACGTGAATTATTTTCAATAGTAGTGAAGCATTGTATTTGTGCGCACCTATTTTGCAATCTTATTGCATAGATGCCAACTGTCATGGATTGCCGGAACGGTCCCGGATTTTAGGGCGGCCGGACTTCGTCCCGGGCTCCTTCCCGAAAATAGGAAACTTTCCAGGATTGTACAGTGTCTCTTGTCTGGGGCAACTGGTGCCACAAATCTTGTTCATTCTGAGATATGTGAGGGCAGATTACTCCTCCTCCCCCCTCTATCCAGGCGCTCTGACTAAGAACTCCCTGTGAGGCTTGGCAGTGTGAGTGCGTGGGAGGGGGTGGTGTCAGCCTCACAGATCATCATGCCCGGCCCCTCCTTTTATCTAGGGCAGCATGAGTAGTGAAGGTAAGTGCTGTGGTGGTGGGAGGCATGTAGCGTGTGTATATGTAGCATGTGTGTATGTAGCATGTGTGTTTGTAGTAAGTGTGCATGCAGGGTTGCCAACTGTTTGTATGTTTAAAGACAGTTTGTAAATTTTAGGCCCGTGTCCACAGTCCCTGTCCATCCCTTGAGCCATGTCCACAGTCTCTGTCCATCCCTAGCACCGTGTACGCAGTCTGTCCATCCCTTGCGCCGTGTCTGCAGTCTCTGTCTATCTCTTGCGCCATGTCTGCATTCTCTGTCCATGCCTTGAGCCATGTCCGCAATCTCTGTCCATGCCTTGAGCCAAGTCCGCAGTCTCTGTCCATCCCTTGCACCAGGTACGCAGTCTTTGACCATCTCCTGTACTACACCTGCAGTCTCTGACCATCCCATGTACACAGTCTCTGACAATCTCCTTTACTATGCCTGCAA